TTTCAGAGTCACTATGGTTCTGTTTCCTGTCTTCTGAGGGCTGGTGCGAATAAGGAGTTTTTAAAATGTATTTTCTAGTATTTCACAGTATTTGGGAGGAGAGGAGCGATGGATGAATATGCTCAGTCCATGACCTTGATCCAACCTCTCCAGTACCTTTTTTTTTTTAAGGATCTAAGAAGTGCTTTTAAATTATCTTAACCTTTATGTCCACATAATTTAAAAATTATGTTTCATTTATATAACTATGTGCCAAAAGTACTTTCCTCCTAACTTCATTCTAGCACGTCTAGAAAGCATCACGATCAGTCACACACACAACACTGCCACATCTGTGCTCTGAACAGCTTTTAAAGATATTCCTGAATTACAACTTGGCCTAAAGCTAATTAATTCAAAGACAAGATCACAGGACCACCCCTTCAGTGTGACTTGTTCCTACACCTCACAACTCTGACGACTGAGATGATCTGGAATGACAGATCGCCCTACAAAGCTGAGAAGTACTGGACATCCTTCATCTGATATCACCCATCAGCCATATTGAGATGCCCTTCATCAGTCAGAAAGCAACACTTAATTACAGGGAATTAGAATTTGGTTTCTTAATTTCAGGCTCCCTGTTTTAGGCCTCACCTTCAGACACATGAGGCAGTTGGGCTAATGAACATGAATTCAAATATCAGTTCATTATAGTCTTAACTCCATCCTGTGAATTAATGGAGATGTTTCCAGTGTTTAAAGACCTTCTCAGTTTATAACAAAAATATAAATAGCATAAATCTAAAAAAAATTAATATTTTCTCTATGTTTTAAGATATCAACCACCACCTGTTACAAATCTGTATATTACTAAAGCAAACTAACCTCAAATCAAATCAAATTTTTGGAAAAATATAATACTTACTGAGTAAGAGAAATTACTGTCAAAACATAAAAGGTAAAATCATATTCACTGAATCCCAGGTCCATCTTATGTATTAACATTGTTTTTCAACAAAAAATTTGTATTCTCTGTAAGAGATCAATTGAAACATAAAAATTGCATTTTACATAAAAATGTATATTGTGTATAAAATATAAAAATACATATAAAAATAGTATTGAGGCATTTCTTAGGATAAATAAGTTAGTGGTCAACTACTATGCCTCATAGCTTATTTTGAGATAAGCTTTTCATCTGTCTCTTAATGACAACAAAGATCACTTTGGCCCTGGGACCTACTTCCTGGGCTTCTGCATACACTCTGTCAGTGTGTCCTCGCCCAAGGACACGCCTTTATCCTCCCTGGTACCCACCAGGGGAACGCGGGGGTCTGATCCAGCTTCCACCCAACAGCCCACACACGCGTGTGCACACCCGCCCTTCATGATGGCATCACACTGCGCACACTTCTGACCAAAGGCCCTCCTGCCCTTTTCCACCCTGAGTTCGGCTCCCTGACAAGAGCACCAGCAGGCTCTCCGCTCAGCAGACAGCATTCTGCTGCCTCCTCTGACACCTGTTCACTGCTCAACACTGGAGATAGATCTGTATGTTTGTCTCATTTAAAAATACACATTACTAATCCTTCTATTAATTTTGGTACATTTTTAGGCATTTTAATTTGGATCTTTAGAGAAACAATCCTTTTCAAATAATGATAACATTCATTTCTTCTTTTCTAATATTTACGCCTCTTACTTCTTTTTCATATTTTACCACATTGACTGGAACTTCCAAAATAAGGCTGAAAAACAGGATGATAGAAACACCCCTGTCTTATCTCGAACGTTAAAGAAAATGGTGGGTGTGACATTTGCCATCGGCTTCTGATACCTGTTATGAAATTAAGACGGTAGCTTAGTTCTCATCACATACTTCATACAGATTTGTGAAATATACAAGACCATCGGGCTTGATCTGTTCTCTCAAGAAGAAACCAATGACAAAGTCCGTCCTATATTGTCCCGACTTACAGGGAAGGGGAGGATAGACGATAAAAGGACACGTTCCACAGTCAGTGTGGCAGCCAGCTCCCAGCCTGGGCTTCAGGGGTCTGCACCTCGTAGTCTTCACACCTCTGCTTCTGTGTCGCCTCTGCGTGTGACACAGCGCTCAGCGGTATGAAGGACAGGAGGTGTGGGAATGAGGGGCGCAGCCTCCAGGCTCGGTCACAGAGACATGGCAGCTTCTGCTTTGCTTTCTCTTCTCTCCCTCCTCCCCCAACTCCTCCTTGCTTGTCCCTCCCCAGGCCCCACCCCAATCTCACTCTGGGGAAGCCTCAACCTCCACGTCCTGAGGACACCCAAGCTGACCTATGGAGAGGCCGAGTAGCAAGGAAGTGAGGTGTCCTGCCAGCGGCCATGTGACTGAGCCATCTTGCAAGTGTGTCCTCCAACCCCAGCCAAGCCTCCTGGAGTCCCGGTTGACATCCTGACTGCAGCCTCATGACAGGCCTGAGCTAGAGGCACCCAGATACGTTGCTCCTGACCCGCAGAAAACTGGAATAAACTTTTGTTGTTTTAAGCTGCTAAGTTTTGGGGTAATTTGTTATGTGGCAATAAATAATTAATATGGAAGGTATCTGGAAAACGACTCTGAAAGACAACAGGATGGCTAGAGGGCAAAAATAACAGCTGCATATGGCTATGCCTTAAAAACAATTTTTTTTTTTTTTTACTAAGCAAACTCACTTCAGAGAATTTATTTCTCCAAGGAAAATGATCCAAAGTAGGGAGAAAGCCTTTAGGCACAAAGTTATTTTTTTTTTTTACCAATACCATGTATTTAAATTTTTTTGGAAAAAAGTTTAAGTTATCTAAGATTAAAGATAAGTATACAGCAATTAAAAGTTTAAAATATTGTTTACAAAGTTTTAAATGACATAAAATTAATATTATTATTGAACATTTAAAAATACTTCTTACGTGCCAGGTACTTTCTTGGATCTTTACATCTATTAATTCACTTAATCCTCATAATAAATGCATCACACTAAGACAGTTCTTATCCCCGTACATAGGTGGAGAAACAAGCAGAGAGGGATTGACTAACTCACTTGGGGCAGTTCTCAGCGGGGAAGCTGGAATTTGAACCTGGATAGTCTGACCCCGCAGCACATGCCATTAACCATTTTGCTGTGACGGTTAACGATGCTTCAGATGTGATATTAAGTGAACACCACATACCCACAGCGTGAGCACAGCTCTTAAAAACCTTCCAAGGAAGCGAGGGGAAATTAGCAAAAAACGTTCAATGGTGATTATCTTAGAGTCATGGAATAATGGATGTTATTATTTTATTTAACCTTTCTGATACTTTCCAAATGTTTTACAACGATCAAGATTATTTTCATAATCAAACAAAAAATGGAAGACAATAAACTTTAATAGAGAAAAAAATGCACCCGTAATTTCTACAGCCCTGGTAGCATGGATTACCTAGCAAAACTCCTGCCCAGAGACGAAGTCCTGTCTGGGCAGCCATCGTCCCCAAAAGAAGAGTTCAAGGCAACTTGGAGAATGTCCTAGACTTTGATCTGAGTTCTAACATGTGTCTTCTGATTCACAACTGATTTCTCTGGAGTGATCAGACAGATCCTCTTCGATTCAACATAATACTGGCTAACACTCACTGAGTATTTACTCTCTGCAGGCTACATGCTGTCCTTCACGTGGCTGCTCTCACCTGGGCCTCACAATTGCTGTCTCCAGTCAGTACAATTATCGTCTCCCTTTATAGCTGAGGAAACCGAGGCTTGGGAGAGTTTAAGTAATTTGCCCAAGGTCACAGACTCCTAAGTGGTGTGTCAGTTCTTCCCAGTAGGTCTTCGTACCTTATTTCAAGTAAGTAATTTAAAGTAAACTGTATTCCATCCTTTTGGTTCCCAAAATTATCATTTATACATATGTGAATGACACAGAAAGGACACAGCGAGTCGATGCCTAACGTCAGATTAAAACTGGGAATTTCTATATATCCTAGTCTTCTAATTCTGGGCTTCTGATTTAGTCTGAGTGGTCTTCACTGCTACTCATACAGCTAGGCTCCCTGAGCAGCCAGGAAAGGACACCCCTGCCTCATCCCCCAACATCACTACCCTCGAAGAAAAGGGGTTAATCAAGAAATAAAGAGGAGCCCCACGGGTTCCTGCCCCCAGGGCTCCCCGGACTCCAGGGGCCACAAAACAGCGAACAACTTCTCAAAGCAGGGGGTCACTCTCAGGAGGCTCAAGACCGTGTCTGATGAGAACACCACCTGCATCAAAACTGTTTGGACCCAGGCATCCCGTGACTGCCTTAGGGTCTGTTAACTCATTAAATGTTTGTCACCACCTGGAGAGCTGGTCCGGCTCTCGCCTGCAGGGTCTCTGAACAAGAGAGGAGCATCAAAGAACCAAGTGACTCCTGCTGGGGCTAGAACCAAATTTCCTCCAGGGATTTACGCTGGGAGTGCAGAGTCCAAACCTCCAAGCCTGTCTTCTGGGTATTTTCACTGTAGCAGGGCAGAACAGACTGCAGCCACTTCTCCCCGAGACCCAGTACACACCCCCCGCCCCCTGCAATCTCAGAACCTACACCACGAGGAAGACTCGGATCTCCAACTGACCCAAGCAGCTTCTGGTTCTACTATATTTCTTTTCTCTCAATGATAATAACTACTGCTTAATAAATTCTGGACAAGATTTTATGCACTATTTTGGCTAGACACCTTTCAGGCACAAGCATGAACATTTAAAAAACCTTCTGACTGAACAGTTCTCCTTCTTAACGTTATGAAGTAAAACTGTGAAGTGACAAGAAACCAGCAACGGAATCCAATTAATACTACAAATGCACCGAGTGTTAATGAGCTTTGTCTTAGAGTTAAGAAATTAACTTGTCTGGTGGTCTAACCTGCCAGAAGTAAGATTAATTTCTTTCCCTTGCCTTTCAGTAGCTCTTCCGAGCAACCTACAGCCATCTCACAGGCGCCCCGTCAAGAACTAGACGCCAAAGCCCCAGCGCGGGGCACTCACCGGCGACGGCGCCGGCCAGGAGCAGGCTTCCGGGGCTGACGTGCCCGTCTTCACTGGCCAGGGCCGCCTTCACGTGAGCGTAGCACGGGAAGTAGATGGCCGAGAAAGGAATGTCCCGCAGAAAGCATGCTTTGGCACCCTGTACATTTGCAGAGGAAGAAAAACCACATGAAACACACATCCCATTGAGAAGATCAAGCTTCTCTGGAACTTACCTCAGAACAAAATATTCCAGGAGAAGACCAAATTTGTACTTACAAGTTGAAAGGGGAACAGAAAAAAAAAAAAATATATATATATATATAAAACCCCAATTTTTGCAAGTAATAAATTAGAATTTTGTTTTTAAAATTAAGACATTTTATTCTGTGGTGTGAGGGAAAGGGAGGGAGCTCTTGCTCATTCTAATGGCAAGATTGCAATGAAAACCATTTTCGGAACTCTGCCTGCAACATTATTTTAACATTCCTAAAGGGTGGCAGGTCACTGGCATTTCAAGGAGTATCTGTTTAGAAGATGGGTAGCAAGATGCTTCTTTGTTTACACACAAGAAAGTAGACAAATTATACAGGTGGTGGGGGAAGGAGTTTGTTTTCCATATTGAGACTCTGATGAAAATGTTGGACTCTTTCCCAGGAAAAAATTATAATACATACATAAAAAGTTATACATCTTTTCAAGGGGTTCATGGATCCCCTAATTTATTCATATACTTACCCTTTACTCCCCAGGGCTTATGAAGCATTGACAAATGGCTGTACTAAAGCTTTAAAATGTCCACTTAATTCCTACACATTGAAGAGCTGTGTGTGGAACCATTAGCAATGAAGGCAAAGTCTTCACCAAATAATTTCTGGTGCCAAAATAATGCCATAGGGAGGCCTTGAAAACTGACGCATGCCCAGAAATATGACGTAAAATTCTAATGGAAACCACAAGACATACATTGCATTTTAAGGAGGCTAAATGGGAAGGAAGTCCCCCACTTTCAACACTTAATGATTTAATATTATTTCTTTCACAGATTTCTAATACCTAAAAATTTTCACCAAATTTAGAAATTCTTCAAAGAACATAATGAATCCATCCAGGTTCCAAAGACTAAGCCAAGCCCACGTTGGATCTTGGGTATTTGCCTCACGCTTGGCTCCAATCTGTCAAACCTCCTTAACACTGCACATCTGTTACTGCAGCCTTAGCTTTCCTGACACCCGCATTACACTCCGGACTCACACTGAGCTTTGGGTAATAAAACGCTTAGTCTTTTTCATATGAACTGCTGTTAACCTAGGCCTACTGTAACTTAATTAGTTGCCTTAAACAAGTAACACAAGCAGGACTTTCTGTTTAATCCTATTACACTTCATCCTAGTTGGGCCCATCCTTCCAACCAGAACAAATGCTTGGAATCTGGGTTCTGTCATGTCGGCTACTCCTCAATCAACTCACCCATGTTGTGTTAAGCTGCCTCTGTCCACTGTAAGTATATAGACATTAAAAAAAAAAAAAGAAAAGAAAGAAAGAAAGAAAAAAGAAGGAAAAAAAAAAAGAAGCACAGATCTCCATCACGTACTGCCAGTCAGCCCACACTTCTGGTAACTCCCAAACTGGTAAATGCCTAACTGAAAAAGAACCACCACTGAATCCACCACACCCAAATTCCTCATTTTTTCACACGTACAAGTTGAAGCCAGGATAGTTAATCTATCAATCGCACGTTTACTAAGGGCCATGCTGTTGGCTTGCTAAAGGGACCTCCCTGGCAGTGCCAGAGACGGGTCTAAAACTCGGGACTCTGGAGTTTCTCCTACCTCCCCCAGCTCTTTCAAGGGGAAGAAGTACAGTATGACACTAGCATCCATGTAATGTCCAGCCCTTTCCTAAAGATTAGTTTTTAAAGAAGTTAACATTCAGGGAGTTACTGTGTAAGGGAAACACTGTCACCGATATTTGCCTGTTTTCACTTCCTTTTCCTTATTCTGCCTCCAAACCTTCCTGTAAGTTCCACTCACTACCTGCCCACATGCAGTCTGTCCAGGAGATACTCAAATTAGATACCAAATAACCAACTCAAATGAAGATCAGTTAAATCTTCATTTCGGGCTCCCTCAATATAGTTTAAAAAAATTGCCATATTGCTAACTTTTCAAACAAATCACTTTGGGGTAATTTTTTAGGATGATGTAATTCTTCCTTGCACAAATCTTGCTTTTTACCAAACCAGTTAGTTTTTACTGTTGACCTCATCTCTCAAATCTTTGCATCTTAAGAGCTGAACTTTGGTCTGTAGGCTCTGCTTTTTTTTTCTGCTGGTTACTATTATCTCTTTAAAATGTTACCCTTCCCCAACTATAAAACAGTAAGTGCCTATCATAGGCAACACAGAAAAGTGTTAGAAATTTAAACTGCCCTTCATTGTCGCCAGCAAGTGGAGCACTGCAACTGCTGCTCACGTCTTGGGGCATCTCCCCTCAGCAGGGGTATGAACAAGCATTCCACAGTTGGATTCATGCCTCTGTGGTTGAGTTACACCTCTTCTTCTCCTTAAATTCATGCTATATGGTTTTGGCTTTTATTTAATTTTTTTTTGGAGGGGGGTGGTGGTGAAGGGGCAGCATGGTCTAATGTCTCCAGTCCTCAGCCATACTGCCTCAACTTCTTTTCTGTATGTTGTTTCAAAAACTCTAGCACTATCTTCGGTCTTGGCTTTTCTGTGGGTTCGGTCCAGTAGCCTCACCGTTGTCCAAGCTTTGCAACGACTTCACTTTCCCATTTCCATCTCCTGGTTAGCCTGACTCCTCCCAGACAAAGCTACTCAGTGCCCCATTCATCTGATCAATCAAGGTACACCTATCACTCCACATCTCCTCTGATGGTTGCTAAGCTGGGAATAGCAACCTCTTACCTCTTCATTCATTTAAACCTAACACCGCCCTTTATGAGGATCCTTTGAGTAGAAGACAGGCAGGGAGTAGCTTCCACACGGCTCCACACTGTCTACACTTGCTCAGGGCTGTTCCAAGTTCTCTTCACGCTCTTCTATCTGCCTGTGTCAGTGTCGCCTGTTTCAGAATGTAAGCAACCAGGAGCCAGAAACTACTGTTGGGTTTAATTTAGAAAACACTCATCAATATCTTTGGCTGTTGGGGCCTAAGACGTGTTCCTCGTGACACTGACTTGGCTTTGCCAATTCCCATAACAAACACCACAACTACACAGAGAAATGTGGGACTTTGGGATACACTTAGGCTCCTACAAGGGAAAGTGACTCATTTCTTGGAAAAATACATTAGAAACCAACACGAAGCTTTTAGTTTTTCAGGCAAAGATATACAATTTGTTCGGGATACAACAGAGATTAGGAGGGCATAGTAGGTAATTTTGTACTGGAATATTGCAGAGGGGTGGGGGGAAGTCAGCAATTAATGTCTCTTATGCTACTTGGCTTCAATGTCATCAGAAGACCATGGGAAAGTGTGATCTCAACTCAGAACCTCCCTGTGACAGGGGAAGGGTCCAGCCAAGTGAAGCAGCAGCTAGGTTTCCCCAAGGAACCCTCCCTCCTTCCCTGAAATCATGACAATAAATCACGCATCTGCATGAGAACAGTAGCCAAAGAAGAGGTGTGATATGCTTTAAGAGATGTTTTGAAAACAGTTTCAGATGACTAAGAAGAAAAATGACTTGATCAAAACACAAATGAACAAACGAAAAAGAACAAATCTACGGCACGGGCAGAGCTACACTGTCAAACACCAAAGGAAACATGGTTGGGAATGTGTTGTACTTTTCCTACCACGGCTCAGACAACGCGGTCAAATAACTTGTGCACGCTGGAGCAAAGGGAGACGATGGGACAGGCCTTAGGTCTCTGATTATTTGAGAAAAAGGAAAAGCGAGGGAACAAAGAGGTCTCATGGAACAACCGCCACCTCTGCTCCACAGAGGCAGGGCCGCCTGCCAGCAGGTTACAGCGCTTAAAACTCCAACTGCCACGGCTGGAGGTACGACGAGCCCCTAGTGTCAGCCTCTCCTCTGTCACTGAGGCTGTGTAATGAGCCCTGGGGAGATCAGGCTCCGAATGTTCCTCGCCTGGCAAAAGGCCAAAGGTCGCCTTCATCAGCTCAGGGACTTTTTTTTTTTTTAAACACTTTAAGCAAAGTCTTATTTTCAAGGAAAAAGTACATTTTCTCATTTTTTGTTTTTGGCATAAATTTTAATCCTTTCTAGTGGAATCAAAACCTCCTGAACCCCTTGCAGTGTCATCTAAAACTTGAACTTCCTCTATTTCTGGATAAAAAAAATCTATTCACCAATGAGGAAATAATTATAAAAGTCCCATAAATAGTATTAACTCCAGCACAAGCATTAAGGGACGGTGGGGGTAAGGAGGTCGGTGGTCCCAGCCTCTCCCAGCGCCTGTGTCCTTCCACAGCCCTGCACCTGTCCGGGCATCCGGGCAGCACGTTGCTTCTCCCGCACCCCAGGCATCAAAGCCCAATTCCCAAGGAAAGCTAATTTTGCAGAAGGCTGGAGAAAAGGCACAGACTTCTTAAATTTCCCTGGTCTCTTCCCCCCACCACTTCCTTCATGTCTAAGGCACAAAGGCAGGTGCCAATCTGTAAGGCTGCCTGGGGCAATGCCTGACCTGTGGCTCCAGCACAATGGAAAGGGAGGGAGGCGGGATGAGAAAAAGGCTTTCAGAGTTCCAACAGTGACAATGTTTCCCAGATTCCTTGATAAATCCTTCATTTAGTGGTGAACACTCCACTCCTACATCTAAACATAAACCCATCTGACTTGAATCCTACCTGCCCCGCGTACAATTTTTACTAAGTGATCAGCCACTCTGAACCGGCAACTTCATAATAAAGGGCGACATTCCATGCTGCCCAAGAGCCTGCGTCAGCAACACAAAAATAATTACTTTAACCATTAAAAAAAATTAATAAATTACAAAGTATGCTACCTGAAATAAATCTTTAAATGGTTTTCGGGAAAATCCCCACGTTTCCCTGCCTTAAGCCTTTCTCACTGTTCTAGGCGGCCCTGCCCTCATTCTCTGGTTGGCCCTGAATTTTCTATGCACATACGGCAAAAGTCACTTGGGGGAAATTACTAAGTGCAAAATGCAATCAT